GTCTTTATATATATATATATATATATATATATATATATATGTATATATACATATGACGACCACGCGAGTGAATATCATACATACGTTACACATAAACTCCATGCACACACATATATGGAGTCTATTCCTCAACGACCATTTCAAGGGGAAACTCGTCGAGTCCACTACTTCCCCAAGGGCAAAACACAACCCTGTAGTTAGTACTTCCGCTAGGGCAAGTGAAGGTGCTCGAGGGGTCGTCTTGTGGGTAACTGTAAGAATCACGGCATCGGTCCTTGAAAAATCTCGAGTAAGGGGTCGGTCCGCACGATCCCTGTCCGGCCGTGCAGCAATATTCGTTGGTCTTGAACACCGTACAAGGATTGTTACAGCCACCTGGTGCTCTCAACGGTCCCGGACACTGCCCGTTTATGTCGGCGTTGCACAGAATCCGGTGACAGCCCGGGTTTGTAGGACTGATGAAATGACACACACGGAAATGTTACCACCATATCGTTGTAATCTCAAGGAACCGTATGTATGTGATTCAATATATAGTAAGATGTCAAGATTTGCAACAACAAAAAAAAAGCTTGTATATTATTGATAATCAAATAAGAAATATATTAATATCTAGACTCTTATAGAATTAAACTTTACATATTTCTCAGTATTAGAAATAAGGTTATTTGTTTGGGTTTACCTAAAATCCATGGGGATGTTGAATCCATCGACGAGTGAAATATCATAGAAATCTCGATTGTTGAATTGATTCAAAGCATATTCAGCAAGAGTGTTCGGTGGTTGGCCCCAACCGGTGCATTGTAACCCGCCGGTGCAGTCTCCCGTCTGGCATCGGCCTCGTCCTGACGCGTCGAAGTTACAATTGGTCCGACCCCAAATACGAGCCATTTTGGTGCCCGGGGCCACGCTTAGCATCCATGTTTGGCCAGGGTCTAGACGGCGACCGCCTCCGGGACTGGCGGCGGCCCAAACCGTGTACCCGCATTGGTTACGGATCTCGAATGTGGTGGCTGCAACGGCGGAGATGAGGAGAAGAGTGGTGGAGATGAAAGTAGAGAATGAGAGTACTTGTGCCATCTTTAATCGTGTGACTTTTGTGAATGTGGCTGATGGGTTTTATATAGAGAAGTTTTTGGTTACTTATATCTCTAGTGGTTATTAATATTTAATTTTATTTAGATATTGCATTTACTTAAATATTGGGAGTTGTATTTGCACAACATTTTAATTTAAAATATGGAGGCGGCTAACTTAACTATAATGATTCTATCCTCACAAATTAAAAAAAAAAAAAATCTACATTGTTGAGTCTTGGAAAAAATATTATGATAAGATTTGATACTCATTCGGTATTTCTTTTATGTTCCATTCAATTATATTTTAAATTCCATTTTTATAAATAGAATATTTATTTTCTAAAATAATTGGGTTTTTTTTAATTCACTGCTTATTTAAAATTTAAATTTTAAAAAAATTATAACTATTTAACTTTTATATCGATTTTGGTGTAGAAACGATTACACGTTATTTGATTCGAATTCATTTCGTTTTGGTTGACCGAATCTAAATGACATCAGGTAAGGTTTATTTGAATATTGAAAACTGTATTTGCATAATATTTTAATTTAAAGATGGAGGCGGCTAACTTAACTATCTTTACCGTCACACAAAAATTTAAAAGTCTACATTATTTTTGGGTCTTTGAAAAATAAAATATCATGATAACAAATTGATGATTATGCCAATAACTTTCTATCATCTGCATCTACAGTGTCATAAGGACATCCTTATTTTATACTTATTCTAAAAATTGTGTGATTTGGTAATTTTATAAACTCGTGTAAGTTTCAAATGCTAAATTATAAGATCCATGTAAATTATTTTTTAATAGAAAATCATATTAGCTTTAAATATAATAACTAATAGAAAATATAGTTAAAACTTTTAGTTCTGTATAAAAGTAAAAAATTATAATATTAATATTTTTGCTAGGCTGTGTATAAATGTTTACCTTCATATAGGGTATCTATTTTGTGTTTTGGTTATATTTTTATTCTGTTATTTTTTATTTGTAAAAAATGTATATATTAAATTAAGATAAGATATTTATTTATGCTAGTTTTCCGTGCCGTTTATTTATGCTAGTTTTCCGTTTTCATTATTCTTATATTTATTTGGATTCCATTAATTTAGGTTTAGAAAAACAATGTATCACAATAATTTTTAGATGGAATTCAATTTATATACAATTATATATTATTATTAATAAACTTTTCATGCCCCAACCAAAATGATCACGTCTTCCTATGCATACCAAAATTTCCTCTTAATCAATAACAATAGTTGCTAATCTATAGATTTTTTTTGGCGAGTATTTGTAATTCTTCTTTAAAATACCTATCAAAATGCGTGTATCCTTCCAAGTAGGGGTATAAAAAGGGCTGACCTTACCCAACCCAATCCGGCTTGTTCCGATCTGTAAAAATTTTAGTTCAACCTAGTCCAACCCATTTTTTAGCGAGCAAAAAATATATCAGTGCAACCCATATCATCATAGACCACGAACCAAATGAATCAGGCCAGCGAACCAAATATATAAATTTTAATATTAAAAATATTTAAAACTAATTTTAATATTTAAAATATGATAAAAAATAAAATTAAAAAAAACTAAATATGTAATAAAAATATAATTTGTATATAAAAATAATTTAAAATATATAAAAATATTAAAATTTTAAAAAAAATATTTTTTTTCTAGCCCACGAACCAGTCTGACTCGTGGTGAGCTAGCTCACCACGTGTTCGGCTCATGACGGGCTGGTTCGTTTGATCCAATTTTTTCTAGGCTCAAATATTTTGAATCCGACCCAGAAAAATATGGGTAGGCTCGTGAACCAACCCGCATCCGCGGCTCGATTTACACCCCTACTTGCAAGTGGAAATTTCTAATTATTATTGTTATACATTAGTTGTTTGATCGTTTAACCAACTTTTTCTTTCCCCAAAAATGAAATGATTTCATACATGAACTTGGTCTCTAATATTTATTTATTTTTGTTCAGAAAAATGTCCTTGTATTTTTACAAACTAAGATATATTCACTTTTATCCTAAAATGTTCGATTTTTATTAAGTATTTATATAATATGATTATTATGAACCGACATTAACATTTAATTTTCGTTAAATTCTTTTTATAAAATGTTTACTTTAAATATCGTTGTTTTCTTCATCAATATAACTCACATATATCACCATACTTTGAATCAAACAGATAAAATAGGAAGATCTTGGAACAACAAAGAAAAAGAAAAAAAACAGTGAAAACAAATTGGAAGAGAGAAAAAGATGTTGAGGATCAGATGAAATTTCATCCTTAAGATTTCGATAAGATATCTTTAAGGAAGCCAATAATTTATTGCATACTCATACGCTTCGAAGAAAGATCGGCCATAGAGACAAATCTGATCTAGAGGACTTTCTTCATCTGATATTCCGAACCCATCTCTCGGATTTTCAGATCGATAATTCTCGATTTATGGCCCTTCCTTCTCACCTATCTCTTCAAGTTCTCATCGTTCTCCCCATGATTATCATCACCAAAGGTATTCTCTGTTTAAAATTATATAATAGCATATATTCCAAAAGCGATAGGTACAAACCAAATAGTAGAACCAAAGTAAAAAACAATGTAATAGATACATAATAATTAACAGTATTTTAAATTTTTTATAAATATTAAGTGAAAATTGTAATTTTTAAGAACAATCAATGACAATTTTATACAATAGATATATAAATTAAATTAGTGGTCACAATTTTTCTTACATAAAAACATCAATTATGTTTTCGTTTTGTGGAAAAAAAAATCTTATCACAAAATCCCCAATATTTTGATGGTAATTTTTCTCAATCTAATAATAGGATCATATTTCTTGCATAGATGATAATTGTTTTATTTTGTTCTTAAGCAAATGTGCATCGAAAGAATTTTATACCAGTATTTTTTTCTTAAACAATGAGTTTGTAATCATGAAATCTATATTCGTCACCAATATTTTCCAAAAGCAAAGATTATGACAGAAAATACGAGTGACAGTAAAAATAAACATGACAAAATGAACAATAAATACAAACTTTTCGGTATCACTCGTGCAAAACCCTTTATCAGATCATCGCAGATATCTATATTTATTGTATATACAAAATTTACTGGTGATTATATAAATCATTAACCTTTTGGGTGTAAAGATTTATGTAGAACTTGAGATGGGTGAAAAAGGAAAGGAATCACATACCATAACCAGAAAATAAACTATTCACTTTTGTAATATCCTACTCGAATGATACCAACCCTTTATACAAAAGATGAAACTCAAAGATGTGACCAGGAAAGAAAACCTAGTTACTTAACGATGAACAAAATGACATATTAAAGGATTTTGATAGTGGTTGTCTCTTGTAAAACCCATATATTGGCAACAAAATTTATGAATCCTGAGACATTGTAGTAGGTGGTAAGATATGACAATAAAAAACGATTCTGGGTACTGAAAGAAAATGGGAAAGAGAGGTAATGAGAATTCTTGAAAGTTTTTATGATATTAGAGATCAATCACGGTGCAAACATATTTGAGATGAAGAGAAAAATACTGGAACTTCTTGTTCCTTTTTTATTCGACTCTTTTTCATGTCTCTCACTCAGAAATATTTAACAGCATATTTACACAGGAAAGAAAGGGAAGAATATGAATAGAAAAAGGAATATGAAGATTCAAGATGATATTCTGATCGTTGGTGATTGAGAATCGATTGTGCTTGTTTCCTTTGCTGACTTTAGCGACTTAGGCTTGCAGAGTTCTCGAACTTGGAGCAGATCCAGATTGGACTCTTGTTTCTTCATTCTCAATGGGCTTGAGCTTGGGCTTTGTTTCATCACCATCATCAGTGTCATCATTCCCCCTCAAGATCGGACGGTTGATATCAACAAGTCCGATTTTGTCGAGGAAACGATTAAGGGTCCATGAGCTCGGGGCTTTGGTGAAGATGTCAGCTAGTTGGGTGGAGTTCGGAGTGAAGATTGGTTGAATGAGGCCAGCGGTGATCTTCTCACGAATGAAGTGACAATCCACTTCAATGTGTTTTGTGTGCTCATGAAAGACGGAGTTGGCGGAGATGTGGATGGAAGCTTGGTTATCGCAATGGAGCGGCATCGGTGTTGGTGGTTCATGCCAATATCCGTGAGGAGAGCGCGAAGCCAAAGTAGTTCGCAAGTCGTGTTTGCCATTGCGCAATACTCAGCTTCGGCGCTAGAGCGAGGGAGACAACGGGTTGTTTCTTGCTTTTCCACGTTACGATGTTCCCACCGACAAATGTGCAAAAGCCGGTGGTCGATTTGCGGTCATACCTATCTCCGGCCCAATCAGCGTCACAGTATGCGGCAATACATGTGTCCTTGTTCCGTTGCATCCATAAGCCGTGCGCCGGGGTTCCTTTGAGATACTTCAAGATATGTTCCACCATGTGCCAATGTAAGATGGTAGGTGCGTGCATCCATTGGCTCACCTGGTTCACCGCATAGGAAATGTCAGGACGTGTTATTGTGAGATAGATTAACTTACCAACGGCTCGTCGATATTGTTCAACGTCCGAGAATGGTTCCCCCTCTACGAGATCTTTGTATGACCTCTCCAGCGGTGTTTTAGCCGGTTTGGCACTCAATTTTCCTGTTTCACGAAGAAGCTCAAGAGTATATTTGCGCTGAGACATGAACAAACCGTTAGTAGAACAAAGTATTTCTATGCCGAGAAAATATGGTAATCGACCGAGATCCTTAATATCAAATGTATTTTGAAGGAAAACTTTAGTATGTTTAATGCCATCAGAATCACTACCAGTTAAAATAATATCATCAACGTATACAACAAGTACAACGTCACCGTGAGAAGTATGACGAACAAAGAGAGAGTGGTCAGACTCGCTTCGATCAAAGCCAAACGAGGTTAGAGCATGATGGAGCTTTTGGTACCAAGCTCTAGGTGATTTTTTCAGACCGTATAATTCTTTATGATACCATCTCACCTATACAAAGTCTTCCAAGTGTCTAAAAACAGAAAATTGGATCTCACTTTGTTTTTTTATATTATTACAGAGAATAAAAAGAAATACCAAGGGGATGTCAAACAGAGCAAGAGCGGTAGCCCGTTACTATTTTTGCTGTAAGGAGATTTGTAGATGCAAAGATCAATGTCATTCTCCAAAAGGATGAACCAATATCTGAAACGGATTAAAAAAAGATGCAACTTTAACTTTGGATTAGTTCAGGAGAAGACAACATCTTGGCGCTTCACCACATGCCAATACAAAATCCGTAAACAATAGTTAACCAAAAAAAAATATTATCAGTTTAATATCAGATAGTAAACCAAATAAAATCCGTAAACAAAGGTAGTGTTTCAAAGTAATGGTGTTCCATATATATATATATATATATATATATATAAACATGTTGAAATGGAAGAGGTGTCAAAGCAAGTAGGTAAGATCAGCCAATATAATGCCACCACGTGTTGTAGTCAACCCTTTCATTTGCATTAACATACATCTCTCAATCTGTAGATTTTCAAGATGTGGGAAATCATAAATAAAATTAAATGACATTAAAATCAATTGAACCTGATCAATATGCATGTGAATATCTCCGATTATTACAGATGTATCTATGTATATATTTATTATATACAAAAAATTATCTTGAAAATATTTTCTACTCTTTTTCATTAATTTTTCTACAACACCTTTATCTTTGGAATATGAAAAGGTTAGTTTTAAAAAAGAGTTGGACATGTCTGGTGTTCCGTTGGGTGAACTATACTTTCGTAAGATCTAACAATGCGTGTATTTATTATATACACACACAAAAAATTATCGTACGCTACCAATTAATATTCTCCATCATTTCTTTTTACCTCTTTCCCATTAATTTCTCTGTCATGCTTATCTTTGGAATATGAAAAGTTAAATTAAAAAAAAGTTGACACGTGTCGTTCTCCTCCTACTGATTCAATTGTACTTTTATATATACTAATTAATAACCCGCACATAATGCACGGTCTGAAAATATATATAGATAATTTAAAATAATTTTATTATTTTTTTAATTTTAAAATATAATTCGTGATAAATTTATCATCGTCTCGTAAATATCTATTATATGAGTTTATCTAAAAAAAAATTAGCGATATTTACCAAACCTAAACTCCCATATGACTTGACCCGTCTAACCTTTATTTTCAATATACATTTTGTAACGACCCAAAATCCGGTATTTCGGAAACCATTGAATCGTCACTTAGGTTTTAAAAAGAAAGATTCGGTTTATTCTTAATACCATACTATCATCTCAAAATCTGCAGCGGAAGTCTCAATAATGAAAGCCTAACATAAGTCTAAAAATACTGAACTCATAAAAATAAAAATCTAAAACATCGTGTCTCTTGCAACTACCAAGTCCTACCACTTGATCTGCTTCACCTTTCACCTATGAGGAAAAAGGAAGGGGTGAGCTACGCGAATAGTTCAGTGAAGTTGCAAGACTATAAACCTCGCCTCTGTACCCAATATAGACAATCAAATAGAAAGCAAATTCAATTAACATTCAACTCAAGCAACTCAATCTATTAATTCACATTCTTCTACTGACTATTCTTTATTCGATTCTTTAAAATGATTCCAGACTCTAGGACCATTTAGTACCCCCAGACTTAGCTTAAAACTCTTTTTATAAGACACAACCAAAAAATTATCATTATAACCCTCTACGGATCGCCGCCGTAGTCGGGGTTATCAAAACACGACCAATAGTAATAACCCTCTACGGATCGCCGTAGTCGAGGTTACCACTCCACATGGATCGCTGCCATACCCGGGTCATTATGCCATCACATACGGATCGCCGCCATACCATGGCCTCAAAACTGAACCAATAGCAATAACCCTCTACGGATCGCCGCCGTAGTCGGGGTTATCACTCCACATGGATCGCTGCCATGCTCGGGTTGTTATCATACCATCACATATGGATCACCGCCGTACCATGGTCTCAAAATTCACTTTAAAAATATTTTTAGCACAGTCTGAGGTCACATCACAGTCCCTAACTCAATTCTTTACTTCTCCAATCTTTCCGAACATCATGCCAAAATTTAATTAGTATCAACAGTTCAACTCATTCTAACGATCCAATTAATCCATTAAGAAACGTCACAAGCCATAATCACTCAATAGAAATTTATCAATCATCAATCATCATTCATTACTCATCAATCATCAATCATCAATCATCACCCATCAATCATCAATCAATAATCAACATGCATCATAAATTCGCAAGAAAATTTAAGGCGTCTATCCTAAAATCCTAACCGCATGATATCTACGTTCCCTATCATCATGTCTAAGCGAATAGAAGAAAGAGGAGTTCTGTCGAGTTTCCTCACCTTGGTCTAAACGATTAACCCTGAAAGATTCGCTCTAATCCTCGATCCCGGGTTCAATAACCTCGAGATTTTCTTCACCTATAATTAATTATCATATAATAAATTTAATCAACAAATTATTTTTCAAAAAAATATTTACTACCGAAAAAAAACGCTAATCAAATGGTAAGTCTTATGGTTAAACTGTTTTATTTTAAATCTTTCGAATATCTCTAAATACTTTGAATTTTATAAAACGGATTTCGGATTTGAAATCACGGGATTGAAACTGTTCAATCCATGTCACCAGAAAATTTTCCGGCGATGGTGGCCGGTGACGGCGGTGACGACACTACCCAAGAAAGATTCAGCTCGCCAAGAGCTTCCAAACCCCTCAAGTCTCGTCCAAAACCGAGCTTCCGTTCACCGGAAATCTACAAAGTTCGTTGACAATGGAGGTGAAAGAAAAACAACGAAAGAGATAAGAAAGTAGCATGGAAACGAACCAACGGTGATGGGGCGGTGGCAATAGGATGGTGATCGGCGTTCAAAGATGTCCAAGGACTCAAATCGGAGCAAAAATCTTGTTTGGGAGCTTTTTGGTTCGGCCATGGAAGGAGGAGAAGGAAGAAGAAGAAGAAACCCTAGCGAAATTGCAGTCCAGTCCTATATTTTTTGAAATTTACAAATTTTTTCCAAACTTTTATTTCGTACTAAAAGGTCCTCCATGAAATAACAGATTTTTCTAGAACTTTTTAATTTTATCACTTGACCCCCCAAACTTTATTTTTTTTAAATTCGTTTATTATAATTTCACCACCCTTAAAAGAAGAATTCGTCCCGAATTCTAGAACGACCTATAGTATGTACGATTTCTTACGAAAAAGGTGGGGATAACGAGTCTTCATATCGTCCTCCAATTCCCAAGTCGCATCTCCTCCTTTGTGGTGTGTCCATGCGACCTTTACTAGAGGTATTTCTCTTCTCCGCAGTTGTTTAACCTTTCGTTCAACAATCTCGATAGGTTCTTCTTCATAAGTCTCATCTGGTTTTAACTCAAGCGGTTGATAATCAATAACATGATCAGGGTCAGGATGGTACTTTCGAAGCATGGACACGTGAAACACATCATGAACTTGTGCCAACTCGGGGGGTAAGGCAACCTTATAAGCCACTGCCCCTATCTTACTCAATACCTTGAAAGATCCAATGAATCTAGGTTTTAGCTTCTCAACCATCCCAAAACGGGTCTTTCCTTTAGTTGCTTGGACTTTGAGAAATACTTCATCATTCTCTTGGAAGGTCAAGTCACTCTGTGCTTATCTGCGTAACTTTTCTGTCTATCCTGTGCTGCTTTCATTTGTTTCTGAATAATCTTAATCTTTGTTGTGGTTTCATCCACGATATCAGGACCCAACAATCGTCTTTCCCCAACTTCTGTCCAGCAAAGAGGCGTCTTACAAGGTCTTCCATATAACGCTTCAAAGGGTGACATCCCGATACTTGAATGAAAACTGTTGTTGTAAGCAAATTCCACAAGTGGTAAGTGGTGATCTCAATCTCCTCCCCAATCCAATACACAAGCATGTAACATATCCTCCAATGTTTGTATCGTTCTCTCTGATTGTCCATCGGTCTAAAAATGATAAGCCGTACTTAATCGTACCTTAGTGCCCATAGCCTCTTGGAAACTGTTCCAAAATCTCGAAGTGAATCGTGGGTCTCTGTCTGACACAATACTAGTAGGGACTCCATGAAGTCTTACTACCTCTTCTAGGTAAACTTGTGCTAATTAAACGAGACATTGAAAACGTCTTCTTAATCGAGATAAAATGTGCTGACTTAGTCAAATGATCCACAATAACCCATATCACATCATTTCCCTTTGGTGTCTTTGGCAAACCAACTACAAAATCCATCGTCACTAAGTCCCATTTCCACTGAGGTATTCCTGCAGGTACCTGGTGCTCGGCTTTAACTAACTGACACGTTAGACAATGACTAACAAATCTTGCAATATCCTTTTTCATGCCATGCCAAAGAAAATACCGCTTCAAATTTTGATACATCTTTGTAGTACCCGGATGTATGGAATATCGCGTGTTATGCGCCTCTTTCAATAACTCTTTCCTCAATTCTTCATCTTTAGGCACATAAGCACGACCTCTCAATAGTATCAACCCATCATTTGAAGTGGAATACCCTGCCCTTGTAAAATCTTCGGGCTTTTCCATCAATTCTTTCGTCTATTCATCTGTTTATTGAGCCATCTTCAACTTTTCCAGCCAACTATTCCATTTTATAGCACTAGTTTCCAATCCGTCTTGATTCTCCTGAGCTGATATCTGCATTAAACTCAATTGAGTCATTAGATCACTTGTCAATCTCAAAGTAGATATCTCAACTTTCTTTCCACTCAAGGCATCTACAACCACATTAGCTTTGCCGGGATGATAGGCAATATCCACATCGTAATCTGCCACTAATTCCATCCACCTGCGTTGTCTCAAATTTAGTTCCTTTTGAGAGAACACATACTTGAGACTTTTATGGTCAGTGTATACTTGAACCTTTTCCCCGTACAAGTAAGATCTCCAAATCTTCAGTGCAAAAATCACAGTTGCAAGTTCTAAATCGTGAGTAGGGTAGTTTTCTTCATGTTTTCGAAGTTGGCATGATGCATACGCAATAACGCAGTCTTCTTGCATCAACACGCATCCTAACCCTTGGTGAGAGGCATCACTATACACCACAAACGGTTTTCCGGGCTTTGGTAATGCCAAAATAGGAGCTGATGTCAATCGCTTCTTCAAATCTTCAAAACTTGTCTCGCATTTTTCCAAACGGTTTTCCGGGCTTTGGTAATGCCAAAATAGGAGCTGATGTCAATCGCTTCTTCAAATCTTCAAAACTTGTCTCGCATTTTTCGTCCCATTCAAACTTCACACCATTTCCCGTCAATCTCGTCAATGGCTTAGATAGGTTGGCAAAACCCTTTACAAACTTTCTGTAATACCCAGCCAAACCGAGGAACCCTTTACAAAATTTCTGTAATATCCAGCCAATCCGAGGAAGCTTGAATCTCTGTAGCATTAGATGGTCTCACCCAATCAACTATAGTTGACACTTTGGATGGATCTACTTTCACTCCTTCCGCAGATACCACATGCCCCAAAAATCCTACCTCTTGCATCCAAAGGTCACACTTACTCAGCTTTGCATATAACTTTTCTCTCCTTAAGCGTTCCAACACCTTCTCCAAATGTATCATATGATCCTCACGAGATTTGGAATACACAAGGATGTCATCAATGAAGATGATAACAAACTCGTCCAAATAATCCCTGAATGTTGTGTTCATCAACTCCATAAAAACTGCAGATGCATTAGTAAGTCTAAACGGCATGACAACAAATTCAAAGTGTCCATACCTTGTTCTGAAAGCAGTTTTCTTTATATCATCATCTAGAACACGTATCTGGTGGTAACCTGATCGTAAATCAATCTTCGAAAACCAACTAGCACCTTGAAGTTGGTCCAATAGCTCATCAATTCTTGGAAGTGGATATTTGTTCTTTATTGTTACCTGATTCAATCCTCGATAATCGATGCATAATCTCATACTCCCATATTTCTTCTTAACAAATAGTACAGGAGCACCCCAAGGAGAAGTACTAGATCTTATAAAACCTTTTCCAATCAACTCCACCAATTGCTTCTTTAACTCAGTCATTTCTGAAGCAGCCATACGATAAGGGGCTCTAGAGATAGGTTCAACTTCCTATTTCAACTCAATAGGAAAATATATCTCTCTTAGAGGAGGTATTCCATGTAGATCTTCCGGGAAAACATCAGGAAAATCTTTAACAATCTGTATATCTTCTAGTCTACTTGATGTTTCCAGTCCGTTTAATTCTATTACCGCCAAATATGCATCACTCCCTTGTTGAATTAGCCGGTTTACCCGTACTGCTGAAATAAAAGGCAAACTTGAAGTCTTTCTTGCACCCTCAAACTCTAGTACCAAGGATCCCTCTTGTTCAAAACGAACTCTACCTCTCTTACAATC